TCCGTGGGGCTCCGTGTTTCCATTGAAGGGGCAATTCCGCCCGCCAGGCCGCGGCCAGCTCGCCGGCCGGGGGCGCTTTGTTCTCAGGTAGCCTGGCGCCGGCGAGGGCAGCGAGAGGAAGAGGACCTGAAGGCAGTTAGATCCGGCTGAGTTTGGAAAGCTGGAGAAGTCGCTCTGATCAGCCATTTTAGTGAGTGCAGTTAGCTATCCATATTAGCCCTCTCACTCCGCGCGGTGCTGCGGACCACGCGATGAAGCTCTCTCAAGACTACAAAGTGATGGAATCCAAGCAATTAGGTCTCCACCGGGCTCCATGGAATAATCCCGGAGCTCCAACCCCCGCGCCCGCGTGGGCTGTGCGGCGCGGCCACTGTACCTTCCTGCCCTTTTCCCAGCAGCTGCCATCATTTCCTGCCGAATGGGCTGGGCTGATTCTTCCCTGATCTGATGTTTGCAGTTTGTATTTCATAGTTCACAATCTGGAGGGGGCTTTGCAGATGGCGCACCTCCCATTTTGGCTACAGTGTGAAGGAGCTAGTGGAAAATTACTGCAGAAAAAAGCCCAACTGCTCTCTTCCCACAATAGGCAAACAACTGGTGCCATCCCACTTCCTCATATTGAGTCTTAATCATATATTCGATGGGTTAGCTGGGTTATCATATCAGGAACATTATCAACTCATTTTGAAACCGCTGTCACCCGGATGATTAAAGCTATGAAACAATTTTCTTTGACCATTAGAACAAGATCATTATGATACTCCTATTAGATGCCTGTGATTAAATTGTTTATAAAGACCCTATTTAAGAAGGTTTCAATGCTACAAGTTTTCTTCAAATGTTGATAGCAAGTGAGAAAAGAAACGGGGAGGGGGCGTGGGAAGGAGGGGTAAGGAAGGAGAAAGATAGAGACTCTTAAAGTGGATTTGCAGCTTCAAAAAACCTAAAAATATGACTATTGGAAAATCTCTCTCTCTCTCTCCCTCTCTCTCTCACTATATATACATGTATATATAGTTTAATTTTTGAAGGTTTTTATACTTGACCTATTTACCTACCAGATTTGTATTCATTTGATTTGATATTAAGTTCCCAGTGTTTTTTCCTGAATTATGACTGACATACAACTGTGCTAAGTACCTAACTGCATTTCATTATATACTAGTGTGAAAATGCTTTGAAAAGTAATGAACCTACTGGAAGTATGTAGTTTTTTTAAAATGAGGTGAAAGTAATTGAAAACTCTACTCTTAGAAAATGGTCAAAGATTGAGAAGTTCACTCCTTGGTGAAAATAGTAGGAGGACCGACTGAGATATAATGGGTGTGGGTCCACTGAACAAATGCTGGATCACTGTATTGGAGCTTTGTACAGATTAAAGGTTATGGTTAGTTTAGGTTAGTTAACTAATTTAGGTCTTCAGTCTCAATATTTTTAAAAAGATTTGTTTTTTTATATAAATTTTATTGAAATAGAATATGCAGACAGGAAATGTAAATGTATTAAACACATATATAACTCAAAGAACTTCCACAGAATGATACATCCATATAATAAGGACATGGGTTTCATTTACACACGCACAATTTGTTTAACTACAGTCCTGAGAAAGATAAATGAAAGCGACATCTTCATTTTGCACACATTTGTTTTGTTTTGCTCAGAAATGAAGCTGAAATTAAAATGTCCGTGTCTCCAGATCCCCAAATTACTCCTCCATGGATTATTACTCTAGGACACTAAAACAAATGATGGGGAGGAACTGAATGCATAAGGTTCCCTCATGGGACTTCAGAATGGTGGCATTTGCAACATCCATGTCATAAGTATCTTACTGATTGCTGAAGAGAACTACTGAGGCACTATTATAGAAGAGAGCTCATTGGCTAGAATTTTCTGGAGTTGACATTGACTCATTGACTAGGCGAATCATTTAAAACTTGCGTGGCTCAATTTCTTTATTCTTTTAGGAATTTCAAAATCTGGAGATTGTAAAATGTTTGTATCTTTTTTTTTGCATAAGGCTACAAAAAATGTAAAAATAGTTTAACTCTTTTCAGATAAAAAGATGCTTATATAAAACTATCATTACAAAGTCAGCAATCAAGAAATGAATGGAAATCTCTAATATCAAATGTGTCCAGATGAGTCTTGATCATTGATATCCTGCTCAAGATTTTTCTCCAGTGCTTAGCTGTGTTTTCTTGCCTTTTTAGTCAGGGGAGTCCACGTTTCTGTGTGGAAGCAGCAGCATCAAATATGTTGACAGCTAAAACCAAAATGACTTTCTCTCATTTCTCCCAGAAATCGAAGGAAGTCTATTCTCAAACTCCATTATTCAATATATGTCATCAATAAGTGTTCAGAAAGGAGCTTGTTCTCCTAGTTAAACCGTACAAATTGCACAGGATTAAGTTTACATATTAAGAAAGTGGCGTTTCATACTTGAATGATTTCAAAGTACAAAAGACATTCATTTGCTAATTTAATTTTATTTCTGAGATGGAGGAACTTATTTGGAATTGCTGAGGTTGACAACCACTTAAGGATCCAGCAAGAGCTACTGCGTGGGTGAAGGTTATGCAAATGAAATGAAGTCATTATATTCTGAAGTGGGTAAAATGACTGTGCATGGCACCGAACTCCCCCATCCTTCTCTTTCACAGTCACAGCGGGATAATGCAAGAACCTATTTGTTCCCATTTGTTTCCATGGGTACCTGAGGAAATAAAGACAGATTCCAGTTTCTTTTCTCTCTCTCTCTCTCCCTTCCTGCCCCCCCTCCTTCGCCCCCACCTGCCTCTCCTTCCCCCCTTTCCTGTCATCCTCCTTCCTTCCTTCGTAGGTACAGATAATAGGTTTTCAGTCTTTTCCCCTGAAGTCTGTTCAAACAAAAACGTTCATTATGAGATTATGCAAACCATAAAATTGGAGAAAAAAGAGACTAGCTTTTGAGGATGATTGTTCAACAGTTGAAACCACAGTGATGGGCCTCAAGAATTTCTTTCTCCCCACTCCCTCCCATTTTTTATTGAATGCCCTCTAGTTGTCAGAGACTAAATGAATGTTTTTCTTATATTAATTCACTTTTTTTCAACCTTTCTCCTCCATGTCCTTTTGAATAGTTTTCCAAGAGTTCCAGGCCTGTGCACTGGCCACTGTGGTCTTGTCTAAGAACTTTAGTATGAGGATGTGAAGATGGTCTAGTAGTTCTTACACAAAAGTAGTTTATTGCAGAAATTCAGAATTGTCGTGAAAACAATAACTTTGATATTGCATATGTATTTATACCACATAGTATATATTGTTAATAAAATCAACAGATTTTAGAAAAAAAACCTAAATACTATTGTATAATAAAACAATTTAATACATGTTAATGTTGTTGTCATTACTAAACCGTGTTTAAAATAAAACTGTCTAAATGGGCTGTACACATGATTGTTTGGTCCCATAGGCTTTTGGGATTTAAAATAAGTATTAGATTTCTTGCTCAAATCTTTCTATTTATTTCATGAGTAACTTTGACAAATAGCTATTCATCTATTTAATAATAATTTAATAATTTTATATTTCAATTCCATAAAAACAAATCATAAAATATTACATTTTAAAGAAATAGATAAAAATCTACTTTTTCTCTAAGCCAGCAGATGGAGATGTTGGAGAAAATATTGTTCTTTCATAAAACTGTTGCGCACACTGAATACCTTTTGAAACGATGCAAAAGAATTATTTAGGAAAACAATAAAAATATACGTAAATGGCACCTACTTTGAAAAAAAATCATTTAAAATGCTGTTTGAAAGATAATTCCTGATGCCTTTTAACAACAAAGTGCATTCAATTTTATTTTTAAAATGGATTATTTTAAATATTTTTGTAAACTTGAGTTATAAAGCCATTCAGAAATAGCACTGATTGTAAATCCTCTTGGAAGTGAGAGCATTCTAAAATAATATGATTTTAGCTCTTTAGCCTTGATTCTCTAGATAATCATTTAAAAGGTGTATTTTTTATCATTGGGTTTTGGTCATGAATCTCTGAGATTGTGTATCTGTGTTCATCTAATTAATTAATGTCTCTTAAGCCTTTATTACACTTTTTATCAGTGCAACTTCGTGTGTGTTGTATACATACAAAAATGTAATATGTGCATATGTATACTTAT